AAGCCTTTCTTAACTCCTTGTGGGTGACAGGAACTATAGTGTGTATACTGAAATGTCTCAGTTTGTTTAAAATGAGTACGCACATCAAGGATTGCGTCCTTTTCGAATCGTTCGCCTTTGTAGATGTAGGTGTCCAGGAATGTTGTTTTCTTATCGGAAATTTCAGCCGTAAATTTTATTGTTGGATGATGATTGTTTGCTTTTTCAATGAAACGTTCTATTGTTGCTTTGTTTGTACTCCATAGCGAGATGTCGTCTATGTAACGTTTCCAAACAAGCGGTTTGAAAAGGCTTTTGTCAAGGATTTCAGTGAACAGCACAAATGTAAGTATTGCAGTTAACACTATCAACTGAGAAATTCTTTCTAGAACACGCATTTACCCAGCGTTGACAAAGTTCCAAGTCATGCTTCGGCTTTGGGAACGGTATGAAGGCTTTCCGACCGTTTTTAAGCATTTCTTTAAGCGAATCTGGCAATCTTTATCTTGAGTCATTTTTACATGTACCCTAAAAGCAATGCCTAGTTGCAACCATTTTAGATAGTTAGAGCATTTTTTTTATCGAAAATAGTCTTGTTTCTGACACGTTTCGCATACAACTCCTTGTAAAGACTCCGAGTGTTTGTCCTAAACCAGCGGAGGGTCCAAAGATGACATATCTATTTTTAGACCTGGCGCGCAGCGTCATTAGCCGGCCAGCAGTGTCGTAAGATTGACATCGATGGTTTCCAGTGCAATTTGAGGAGGTCTGTGACGAATATTGAAAACCAAAGTCCACCTGGGCTCAAAACTTGCAAACCAGTATAGATCAGTTCGGGCTCGTCGACGGAGGACACACTAAAACTTGGCGTATGTCTGTGAAGGTGGCGTAATGGCCATTCAGTTATGAATACAACAACCGAATTCCTCTTTCTGCGGCCACAGTAATTAAAGACACCCAATTATTACTACGTGACTCCGGGCGTTGACCACTCGTTTGTTTTAGAAGAAGCAGTCTAAGATGGCTATATCTTAACTTTCAGCGAGCACGTGAATATAACTTCCGATTAAAAAA